TTGTGTGTGTGTGTGTGTGTGTGTGTGTGTGTGTATATGTGTGTGTGAGAGAGAGAGACAGAGAGAGAGAGAGAAAAAGAGAGAGAGACTGTACATGAGTGAGTGCATGTGTATGTGCTTGAGTATCTCTACGTGGTAGAGGTGGGCAAAATCCGGATAATCTATAAGGATAACCGGATAATTCTCAATGAAACATTATCCGAATTCAGACTCTTAACTCTCTTTTTTCCAGACCCGTTTTGTTGAAATGATGCTGCCCGTTTGTTGAAGTGGTTCTGACCCATTTTCCGAAGCGGTTCATATCATATTATTTGTCGAAGAGGTGCACTAACATAATATCTAGATTTTGCTAAAGCGACTCTTTGCCCAGCCCTTTAGTACGTGGAAGCATCAGCCCAAACTATACTATTATGAGTGTGAAAATTTATGAGCATGCACGTATGGATGTCAGTGTGTGTGAGAGGGAATGTTTGTCTGTCTAGAACCTCACCCCTCTCTCTTAAATCCCCATCTAGAAATCTCCTTTCTCCTCCTTTTCCTTCAGCCAGAATTTCATTTGTTCCCGTCTGCCCCAGGACACCCGTTGCATTATCTCTGTACCCGCCGCTCCCCTCTCGAGGGGAAGGGCTCTGCATTCATTGGTCATCTTGCTATCATCTCCTGGACATCATACTCTCAATCAGAGCGGACTTAGGTTCTGAGAAGATTAGCGAAATATCACCGCCTCTCCGCGGGCAGTTAGCGTCCTAATCCGGCCTATTACACGCTGGCCTTATCTGGGAGACTCGTCCCCTTGGTCAATTTGTGGGCATCGGTCAGACGCCTCCTGGTGATGGAGGATTCATTACTGGTATGTAAACAGGCGCTAGGGCATGCCTAAGGGTGGGGAGGGGAGTGGAGAAGGGAAAAGGGAGAGGGAGAGAGAGGGTGGGGGAAAAAAAGGGTAAAGGGTTGAGAGTGAGAGTGAGAGAGAGAGAGAGAGAAAGAGAGAGAGACAGTGAGAGAGA